AAATCGTACCTTCAAAGTTTCACTGTGGAATCCGACAGGTCTCAGCGAGCAGTTGGATCCCGCAATCAAAAAATAGTAATAATAATTAAAATTGGGTAATTTTTTGGCCCAACCGGTTTTCCCGTTCAACCCCCCGGGACTGGTCCGGCCCAGGTGAACCGGCCGGTTGCAGGCCCAGCCCTACTATATTCTTCTCTCAATTTCACTTTCACTACCTACCTACCACTACTCCTAAGCCTTTACACTGCAAGCATAGCTACCTCTCACAATTAAGGGGATGCATGTTGCCCCCCGCCCTAATCAGGGGTCAGGGAGTAGGATGGGGCCGCAGGTGCGGGGGGCCGGCTAATGCAAAGAACCAGGCATTTTGCCAGTAGCTGTGCCTCCCATCTACTTCCCCTGGCCCCATCGAATGACAGGAGCGTCTATGGCCAGCACTCATCCGCACACCACACACAACCCCCCCCAAGACACACAAATGCACACCCGTGATGGCCAAAGACCCTACCAATACCGAACAGGGGGACCAAGCCAACTATTTCAGTTGGTTGGCACCAAGAGTGCCGCAGGTGGTGAGTGGGGATTGAACCCACGACCACCTGAATGCCACTTGCGTGCCTCACCAACTGAGCTTATGCCGCTTTATCAACTTCGCAAGTTTTCAAGATTTGCTCTGCTTCGCTTTGCGCTCTGCACTTCACATTTTTTTTCTTTAACACGCTTCGCTTTGCTCGGCTGTGCTTTATGCACTTCACTGACCATTTTCAATTTGTGTTCGCTTTGCTTTGCGTTTTGTGCTTTCCACTCTGCACTTCACATTGTTTTTCTTTACATGCTTCGCGCTCTGATTGGTTGTGCTTTGTGCGCTTCGCTGACCATTTTCAATTCCTGTTTTCCGAATCATTTAAGAACATTTGCTCTGCTTTGCTTTGCACTTTGCACTCTGCGCTTCAAATTGTTTTTCATTTATACGCTTCGTTTTGCTTGGCTGTGCTTTGTGCGCTTTGCTTACCATTTTTCACTTGTGCTAGGTGAACCTCTGCTTGGCATTTCTTTTGCGCTCTGCACTTCACATTGTTTTTCTTTACATGCTTCGCTTTGCTTGGCTATGCTTTGTGTGCTTCGCTGGCCATTTTCAATTTGTGTTGTCGGAACCATCCAGACAATTTCCTTCAGGTTTTCCTCTTTTCTGAAGTTTTTTTTCTCTATGGTCCTATGATGATCCATATTGTGTTTGCCAAAACAAAAAGACCAGAGATGCAAAGCCAAGAAGATAGCATACCATAATCTGAAGAAGATAGGGGATGTGCGCCTCGTATGGCTGAAACTTCCGGTCCATGACTGCACCACTCTGCAGGTTGCATATCATATCCACCCACAAGAAGCAATTCTTCCATTTCTTAGCTCTGAGTAATAATTGACATTGGTGTCCTTCAGGACATTCGTTAAAATTGGAACAATACAAAGAAGATTACCATGGGCCCTGTGCCTAAGGATGATCGCATAAACAGAGAAATGGTCCAATTTTCTTTTTTTTAATAGTAACGGCCTGGTGATACCATCATTCAACTAATCGGCCCCAGGTAATTCAGAATCATTTAACTTCATTCATCTGGGTTTGAACTCACTGAAGTTGCTAAGATATCCCCACCCTACTAGAGGCAGGTGGAGTGGGTTGATGTCTATGCAATTGTGAAACACGTGCACATGCCGGCATGCAGGGGCACATGTATGTGCACACACACACACACACGCACACACACACACACACACACACACACACACACAATCAGTTTTATGTCTGTTTGTTTCCCTCTTGCTGTCTGTTCTTCCTCTAATTTTGTCTGAGTATTTTTTTGTTACCCAACTGAGCACCCCTAAGTAGTGCCAAACAGTCAGTGGTTCCTCGTTTGGAGTGCCTACTGCACTCTTATGGGGCCCGCTCAGTTCGGGATGTCTGTGTTGCCTGTCGGTGATGATGGATGTTCGTCGGAGTGACCCCCTGGCTCAGTGGGTGGTGGGAACCAACAGTCTGCGGGGTTCAATCGTGATGTGAGTAGGTCATGTGCTGCTTTGCTCCGTGTTGGATGTGTGGACGTCCTCGTCTGCGCTCCGCCGCTGCCCTGCTGCCTGTCCCACTTGCTTCACATGTGGTTCTTTGCAGGTTGATGTGTTCGCTATGCGGTGTGGCCGTGTTGTTGGTGTTGCCTTGCGCTTCGCTGCTCCGTTGCCTTGCTGCTCATCCGCTGGCCGTGCCTTCCGTATTTGCTTGCAGTTGTTTTTGGCGTTGTGCAGCCGTGTTGCCTCTACTGTGTTGCCTGGTGCTCCACAGGGTTGCTGCCCACTGCTATGTTCCGCTTGGGGACAGTCTGCCTTCAAGAAGGGTCAAAGTGTTCATGACCCAAACCATCAAATGCGGGGATTCCGCAGATTGTCGAGGGTTCAGCCTCCTGATGAGTTGGTGCAACTCCGATGAAACAGTCTTTCATCATCAGTTTTATTATTATTTTTTTCAGTCTTTGCCTTGTTTATACTTGTATTTTTTTCGGGTATTGTTTTTGCATTGTCGTCGTTTGTCATGCTATTGTTTCCCTCGCTGCCTTACGCTGTTTTGCTTGCCCATTCGTCTACCTCATGCCTTTCACCCAGTGTGCTTTGTTGTTTTGTGCTGTTTCCCTGCCCACCAGCCTCCCCGATGCCCTCCAGCCTATATGCTTTAATACCTTGTGCTGCTTGCCTGGCGCCATGCTGTCTGTCTGCCCACCCGCTTCCCTCATGCCTTCCAACCCATGTCCTTTGCTTCACTGTTGGTTGTGCCTTGTTGTTTTGTCGAGCTACCGTCTGCCTAAATGACATGCCTGGGTAAATAGAGGATCTAGCCTGTGAATGTATGAGGGCATTAGGGAGAGTGGTGGAGTGTATCCTGTGTCGTGACGGTTGGTGGAGTGCATGTTTATCATGTGCTGAGGCCACCATAATATGTGCTTACACACATCATCACACACACACACACACAAGGGAGACGTGCGCGGCGGCGCGCGACGCGCGTATGCACACACGCACACATAATGTTTGCAGGGGCACGCGTACACATACACGCGCGCGCGCACACACACACACACACACACACACACACACACACACACACACACACACACACAAACACAAATAGACAAACACACAAGAGCGCACGCATGCAGTGGCAAGTGCAAGACACAGATGAAAAAGAGAGAAATAACCCGCGTTCTCAAATTTTCGTTCTCAAATTTTGCTAAGGCTTCTCTTCTTGGGGGTGAAAAAGGATTTTTTCCAAGTTCGTAAGTCTTGCCCGAGCGAATTTTTAGTGAGAAGTGAAAACAGACCTGTAGAATGGAAGCCACCCGCCCGACTTCCTGTGGATGGAATCTGAAATGATAAGCCACCTTTCCATCAAGGAAATAAGTCATCATCCATTATGGCAAACAGGCGAAACAAAATTATCACAAAACATAATAATGTGACAGGCCACACCTTATCTACTTGTGGTGCTCAACACATGGTTATGTGCTTTCCACCATACTCATTGCCCTTATGTTTTCAACTTTTGTGAGTTTTTTTTTCCATAGTTATGTGCTTTTTTTACAATGGTTATGCGCTTTTCACCAAACTTATTGCCTGCTTGGTTTTCACCATGGTTATGAGCTTTTTACCAATACCATCACCCCATTACTCCAATGTTTTACCATGGTTATGTCTGCCATGGTTATGCGCTTTCCAAGTTCTTAGTAACTTTTTTTTACCGATATTATCACCCCATAACCGTGGTAAAAAAATGACTCTGGAAACGATCAACCTCCTAGCCCCTCATCAATCCTCTTTATACAGTTCCTGCAGACAGTCCGTACTTGGGAAGCTTAACCTATACGCCGTACACGGAAAGTTCTGCAGCATCTATCTCGCAACATCGTGCTCAGAGCCTTTCGGGTGCAAAGACTCCGCAGCTCAACCAAAAACGTTCAAAAGAGATGGTCTTTAAGAGAGAGAGAAAGAGGGGGCAAGTGGAGATGGTCATCCAATGAAATTCAAAAGATACAAGACGATCTTCACAAAGAGCTGATCGGATGGATAGTAGCCGTAGAAAGGTCGAGCTCGCACAAGGCTGCATTCGTGGAGATGTTGACGCTTTGAACTGACAGAAGACGTCATCTGCAAGAAGGACAAACAAAAACAAAAAAAGTCATTACATGATTACAATACTTTCGTCATAATTTATTATAATTTAGTATAACTATAATTACTATAACATATATCATCCGATTCATCAATATATTATATTATATTATATTATATTATATTATATTATATTATATTCTAGGCTACCAGCCGGGCTGCCCGGGGGTGAAGTCCCACCGCCCAAGTTTAGTTTGGAAAACGCAACCGTGTGACACCATTTTGACATTAATAAATTCGAAACAAAAAATTGAAAAACTGAAAAAAAACGCTCGAAACAGCTTTTCTCCTTATTTTTGATTAAGTAACTCGGAGAAATGAAACATGTCTGGCACAGTCGGAGTGAATGTCTCCGTGGAAAAAGGATACTTCCCCGTGGTGAGGGGACAGGAGGTCACCATTCGTAAAATGGACAGGGACAAAATGGATGGCCAGATGCGTTCATTGCCCAAAGAAGGAAGAGAGTTTGATACGAGAGAGCCAAACACAGCTGTCAGAGTTCCTCCGTTTCAGGGTGTAATGATATCTAAAAAACGAAAAAAACGAAAGGCACATACGTTGAGAAATGTACCCTACCCTCGGTAGGGTAGTTTTCTCAASGGAAAATGGCTTCCCGAGCAAACCAAAAGGGCCAACGCATACWACAAAACRGATTTCACGTCAAARAAAAAATCTACAAAATGACCAAATCTAATAGGTTATTCTCCTGTATTTCGGTACCCTTAGATTCTCAATACATCAACGGCAGAGCTCCGTCCCACCATGCCACACGTAATAGAAAGCTCAGCGTTGAGAAAACTCAACTTCGGCGGTGGGACTTCACCCCGGGTCCCGGGTGGCCAGCCCGTGCAAGGACCAGGGAAGGTCCCAGCCAAAAAAAAAAAAAAAAACACTCCAAAAAATCCGAAAAAAAAGTATGTTATGCAGAAAAATAAACTGAACAGTTTTTGCCTCAGGGTCACATTGAAATTCTGCACCAAATTTAGAATAAAAAAACGAAATTTTATTTTTTATTTTTATTTTTATTTTTTTATTGTTTTTGGCCCGGCCGGGCAAGTGACCCCGGGCCACTCTGGTAGCCTAGATTATATTATATTATATTATATTATATTATATTATATTATATTATACTATATTATATTATTTTATATTATATTATATTATATTATATTATATTATATTATATTATATTATATTATACAGTTTATACTAATATTATATGCAGTTCCAAAATACTAATGCATACTGATAATTGATGAATACATTGAATAGTGAATAGTACTGAATACTATTAAATGATTTAAATCGAATTAAATGATATTAATTGCATGGCATCCCGACCCAAAAACCAGCGCAGAAACAAATGCCCCAAGTCCGAGTGTGGTCTAGGGATCAGCAAGGCATCGTAGAAGGCCTATACTCATTAGGGCTAAGGACCTTACTTGCTGTAGACTGGATTAAGAGCCTCGGTAGAAATAGAAATGGAGTCTACACCCAGTAAGGCCCCTTGTCCAGTAGAAATGGGGTCTATAGACTCTATAGGAGTCTATACTGACTAACGCCGTTAATGAAATTACCTTACATGGTGTAGGGTGGATTAAAGGCCTTGGTAGAAATGGGGCGTACACAGAATAAGGCCCCTTGTCCAGTAGAAATGGGGTCTACAAACCCCATTAACAAATTTACCACTATTATAATTTTCCAAAGTCATGACAGTTGTAATGTCCTTAGTCTGGTAGAAATGGGGCCAACACCAATTAAACCACCAGTACATGGTCCCAGCCAACTTGAGAATCATGATTGAGCCTCTCCGAAAAATTATGAGGCTCGACGTAAGAAAAACTGGACCAAAATGGCTGGCAGCACCAGCCAAAACTGAAACAAAAAGGCCGCACTGGCGCTTCAGCAAAGCTTGGTGCACAATAGCGATCTGCCTCATAAAAATGAGGCTAGGATCTACTGGTCCTTTAAAACCCTTAGTCTGGCTACCACCATTATTTTGTAAGGCCCTTAGTCCAGTAGAAATGGGGTCTACATAAGGTCCTTACTCCGGTTACCGCCATTATTCTTGTAAGGCCCTTAGTCCGGTAGAAATGGGGCCAACAACAAGTAAGGTGCTTAGTCTGTTACAAATAGGGGTCATAGTACTCCATACTGAGCCCGTGTGGCTGAAGGGTAGTGTAATGACCCGCCAAAACACAGACTGAGAAGTTAGAACACTGCTGACTTCTGAGTTTTGCCGCTGGAATGTATGCCTTGCTGAGATTCCCGCGTTGTGCTGAGTTTTTGAAGTGTGGGTGTGTGCATGCTTGCTGGTCTGTGTGCCTGTCTGAGTGCACGTCTGCCTGAGTGTGTGTGTGGCCCGACAGGGCACTTGTGAGTGGTGAGGCCCGCACGGCCGGTACTTTCAGTGGCCGTGACTTTGAACGTTGCAGCGGGAAAAACACTCGAGTAGTGGGGAGTAGGCCTGCGACACTTAGGGCAGCGGGAGAAAAACACTCAAGTAGCAGGTAGGCCGGTACCAGTTAAGTGGTGATAGATGTCGGGAACTGGAGGCCGAGCAAAAGAAGACAAAGAGTTGGCATTTTTAGAGGTCCAGTAGCGGTAAGCTAGAGGTAGGTGGGTACCAGTCCAAGTAGCCTGAGTCTAGAGCCTGGACGGATGATATCAGAGCCTGCAATGATGTTTCCCTCCAAAAGGGAGGAGGTACCGGTTGCTTGGAGGCCGCGCGGCCTGGAAGTCACCGCCCAAGAGGCAAGTAGGCCGCTATATCTCCAGGAGGAGCGAGTAGCTTCTCCTCATTTGCAATATGCAAGTTTGGACGTCGTGCTACTTGAGCGGGTGCTGTCTCAGAGTGCTGCCTGGGAGGAAGAAGGGGAGCTGGGAGTTCTGCCTGGCTATGGCGAGCAGCCCAGCTTGAAGAGGAGGAAGAAGGGGGTGAAGGAGAAGAGTGGCGAGATACCTACCTGGCTATGGTGGGCACCATCTTTGCGTTGTCTTTCGCACAGGACGGCGAAGCCCTTACTCGTCTGCCATAGCCTTGGCATGTGAGAGGAAGGTGAAGAGGGAAGCCAAGGCTATGGTGGACCTATTGTTGTGCTGGAACTTCGGATATTGATTCTGGTTCTACCACTTATGATTATTATTTGGGAGAAGAATAAGACTGGCGGAGACAAGAGGGAGGAAGAAGGTGGAGAGAGAAGGAAGATTTGTCATTGGTCTTGCTGGTGTACAGCTTCTTCTTCGTCGTCTTCTTTCTATCTTCTCCTTCCTTCCTCTTTGGTCTCTATCTCTTTGCAAGTGCTTTCATTTCTTTTGCAATTGGGTGGCAGTGTCTTTCCTTGTGAATTTGCACTTCGGACATAGCCAGGATCGTAACAGTACACATTACTGCACACATGTAACTGATGGTAAACTGATTATGAGATCGAATCCTGATGGAATCAGATGGATATAACAAGTGTTAAAGGCCCGTCTACCCCCGTAAACGAGAAGGGAAAAAGAAATGGGGCCCACACCGTAACAAGCCCTGGGGTAATGGGCTCTATGCTCGGAACGTACACATAATGAATACGTTTGAATAACTCTCAACATAGTAAACAGCAATGAGTATATGAACCACTGAACAAGAGAGGTTCTTCTTCTTCTTCTTCTTCTTCTTCTTCTTCTTCTTCTTCGTCGTCGTCGTCATCGTCGTCGTTGTCGGCGGCGGCGGCGACGACGGCGGCAGCAGCAGCGGCGTCTTCTTCTTCTTCTTCTTCTTCTTCATCTTCTTCTTTGGTCACAAGTCTTCCAAATTTATCTTGCAACTTTTGCAAAAGGAAAGCGAGGCCGCTGTTTACCTGCCAGGTGAAGGTATGACAATCAACACATGTTCACCACCAACCAGTCCGAGCTCAAATTGAAAAATAGAGAACAACAAACTCAAAGAACCTCAATCATCAGTGTCCTCCAGGACATCCGTCAAAAGTGGAATGATACAGAGGCCCCTGCGCAAGGAGGACACACATAAATCAAGAAATGGCCCAAATTAAAAGGAGGGGGAGGGGGGGGGAGACCTCAATCATCGGCCTGTGTGTGTTGATGAAAATCTCACCTTCATAGCCATCTCGATAGCTGCCCCCATTTTCCGGACGAATGCAAAAGCTGCCAATCAATAATGAAACACACAAAAGGACAATGAGAAGGCATCAGAGCAATGTGACAAAAAAGAGCGCATCAGAGAAAAAGGACCAGAACTCCTATTCTTTTGCAAAAAGGAGCGCATCAGAGCAAAATTGATCCCATGCGGGTCAATGGTACACACAACCAACTGTTAATAGATGGAGACATGAGTTCAAGTCCTTATGGGATGGAAGTTCATGGAACTTCAATGAAAGTCATCAAATGGATATAATAAGGTTAGGTGATAACCCTGCAATAACCCATGCCATATGTCTCGTGGAAAGACTGAGGGCCAACTCGGCCGCCCTCAGCCCAGGTCAAAACGGGGCCAAAAAGGACCCCAAACAAAGAGTCAGGGCCTCGACGTGTGACAGTTGACTTTGGTCAACTGTCGTGACCCCAACAGTCAAAGTCCAAAGGTACCTAGCCCAGGCCACTGGTCAAGCACACACACTTGGTTGTATGCAGGTACCCAGACAGCATCAGGCCCAAGGGAGAAGTCTGCAACTGTACAATCTGGGCCCTCAGCTGTGAGTCAATCTGGACGACCGTGGGAAAAGCACCCGAGACCAGACAGCCTCGACAACAGTTACTTAAGGCTGGCCTCGAGTGAGTCAAGCATTCAGTCTTGCTATGCTGCTTTGATGCTGGCTCGACTTTGACTAGACGCTGGCATTATGCTGGCTCGACGCTGGCAAGACGCTGGCTGTGCACTGGCGATGCGGACGACAGCACGAGGTGGAGGCAGCATGCCGGCGCTTTTTGCATTGTGCGCCAGGCTTGCTGAGGTGGCATGCTGAGGTGGCATTCTGATGTGGCGCTACCTCTGGGCTACATTGCATGATGATGTGGCGCTACCTCTGGTCTACATTACATGCTGATGTGGTGCTACCTCTGGTCTACATTGCATGCTGATGTGGCGCTACCTCTGGTCTACAT